CTGCATGCCCGTTTTGTAAGGGCAGAAATGGCATCTTTCAGGACGACCGTCCCTCTGTAAGGCACATCTATCTAGACAGGACTTTATATAGCTCGGCATCAAGTTTTAAATCATTCACAAAAGAAATGTGCAAGGAGACATACCAGCCTTTCTCCAGAGAGAGATCAATGAGCTGTGGAGCCACGTTGGCCAGGAGCACTTTCTTTCATCTAGATACAGAGCATGACAATCAGATGCCAGCCTCACTGCTAGCCCTAAAGGAAGGGAGCGACCTCTCTAATCAATCGGAGGTGGAACGTGGCCGGGGAGGGTGGGAGAGGATGGAGACAATGCTAATAGATTAGTTAGAGAATGTTTAGTATTACCAACAAGATAAAATGACAGACGAGGTGGATTACATAAAGTTTTCAGACTTAGAAAGACATTCAAGGTATCTGGGATCCTAGGTGTTTTATTGTAGATCGTAGGAAACAAAAGCAAACTAAATCAAAATAGAATGAAATGAAATAAAAATGCTTATAGGCTTCATACAAGACAATATTCAAAGGGACAGTGCAGGCAGTCCTCTGTTGTATTCATAATCTATGTATTCATAAACTATAGTTATAATTAGCCTGAATTGTAAAACAAAAATGTTTCACATAATTTTAGGAATTATATCAGGTGTAATGCTGTTTTCATTTACTTGGCTCTACGGAATTATTACTCTTAAAAATTGCAAAATCCTAAGTCCTAAAACGCCAAGAATTTTAGAATTTTAATGTGACATTATAACAACTATATAAAAAATGGGGAGATATTGGTCAAAAAATAGTTACAACTCTGAGTTATAAAATAAGCAAGTCTAAAGACCTACTATACAGCACAATACCTATAATTAATAATATGTATTGTACACTTGAAACTGGCTAAGAGAATAGATCTTAAGTATTCTCACCGTAAAACGTTGATGGATACATTAATACTTGATTGTGATAATCACTTCACAATGTATACCAAAACATCACATTGTATAACCTTATACATATAATTTTTATTTGTCAATTAGGCCTCAATAAATGTGGAAAAAGAAATAGTATCTATACATAATAATTTAAATGATGATGATGACAATTTACATGTCCCTTTATGGGGGAACAAATTATACACAATAGCTTTTAACATAATCCAAAGAATCCCAAGCTACATGATCCTAACTTGCCAGGAGGATTGTGGTTCAATTGAAGGAACCTTGAATGAATTAGAAATGTCAATATCCAAGACTGCATTGTAATTTTACAGCTAGTTCTTTAGCATCAGAAGGTTAATCTTCACTTGGTATCTGCTCACTAATAAGTACCATATCAAAGGTCTGTCTCTAGTATTGCCTGCCTTAAACAAAAGTTTCCTTTCCATTGACTCAAAATTCTTTCCACGACCTAGCTGCTGCCCATGGTTCAAGTCTCTAAGGCCAACCTTGTCTGGCAAGCAAAAAGTCCAAGCAGTGGCTTGGTCAGAAGGCTGTGGAGTGGGGTCCAGTGTCAGTAAGCAGAAAGTCACAGGCAAGGAAGGGAAAGTGGGTACCAGGGTGGGTAGGAATTCTGGACAGAGGGTGACGTGTTCATTAAACAGAAGTGAGAGACGCAAATCTTTACCGATAGCAAAGACAGATACATTCATTTTCCATAAATGTACTTCAACCACTTTTTTTTTTTTTTTTTTGAGACAGGGTCTTACTTTCATCACCTAGGCTAGAGTGCAGTGGCACTAGCTTGGTTCACAGCACCCTTAACAGCCCGGACTCAAGTGATCTCCCACCTCAGGCCCCCAAGTAGCTGGGACTACAGAAAGGTGCCACCACGCCTGACTAAGTTTTGTATTTTTGGTAGAGACAGGGTTTTGCTATGTTACCCAGGCTGGCCTCAACTTCTGGGCTCCAGTCATTCACCTGCCTTGGCCTCACAAAGTACTGGGATTATAGGTGTGAGCCACCACACCCTGCCAGTTAACCACCTTTTATTGTATTGAATTACTGTTGTTTTGAGTCAGGGTCTTGCTCTGCTGCCAGGCAGAAGTGCAGTGGTGCAATCATGGCTCACTGCTGCCTCAACCTCCCATGTTCAAGTGATTCTCCTGTCTCAGCCTCCCAAGTAGCTGGGACCACGGGTGTGCGCCACCATGCCAAGCTAATTTTTGTTTGTTTTTGTAGAGACGGGGTCTCCCTATGTTTCCCAGGCTGGTCTTGAACTCCTGGGCTCAAGCAATCTTCTTGCCTCAGCCTCTCGAAGTGCTGAGGTTACAGAGGTATGACACAGCACCTGGCCAAATTCTTTTTTTCTAAGTAGTTATCTCTTCTCCATTAGAAATAAAGATCATATGTATTAAAGAAACTTAAATAATATGATTCCTCCCAAGGAGATTAGGTTTGAAAAAGTTTATGCACAACAGATGAATAATTTTTCAAAACACATACACGCATATATATGCATACATACAGTATCTTTTGCATGTGTGTATATTTTTAAAACATGACTTAGATTTCCTGAAGCGGGTTTACACAGGGAAAGCACCAACTTATTTCATCACCGGAGTCAAACTACTGCAAATTGCTAATTATCTAAATTGATGATGGTCTTTTCAATTCTGGAATGAGCCGTGCAATTTTTTAAAATAGGTTTTGCAGCAGATTTAATCTCCGAAATTCTGATTTTGCTAACACTCATGTTTGTAGTTACAAGACTTGCTTTCCTTGGGGACACACAAAATTACTTGGGTACAGGGGAAATAGCAGGAGTTGTGCCAAACAGGAAGAAGAGGAATGTTAGATTTTTTTCAAAATGGTGAACACTCTAAATAGAGATTACTGGAGGTTGTTGGCATGTTCAATTGTGGTGCATTTTTATGCTTAGAACTCTAATGTAACTCTAATGCGTGAATCCTACTTAATTCTTTCTTCCAAAACAGCCTTACTGAGCTGTCATTCATGCACCGTACAATTCACCCACTGAAAGCGAATGTCTGTCATTCACGCACCGTACAATTCACCCACTGAAAGTGAATGTCAAGTTTTTGGAGTACCTTCATAGATTTGTGCGCTCCTCTTAAAACCATCTAAGTTTAGGACATTTTGTACCACCAAGAGGAACTTAATTAGCATTCATTTTCCATTTTTCTCCCTCTGTAGCCCAAGACTCCAATTCCTGACAAGGACTAATCTATGTTTCCACCCCATATATTAGGTTGGTGCAAAAGTAATTGTGATTTTTGCCATAAAAGTAATGGCAAAAACGGTTTTGCATTTCCACCAGCAATGGTAAGAGCTCCATACATTCTCATCATCTCCAGCACTTGTTACTGTTTGTCTTTTGTATTACAGCCTTCCTAGTGAGTAGGAAGTATATTTCACTTTGGTTTTGATTTGCACTCCTTGATGACTAACAATGTGGAGTATCTTTTCATATGCTTGTTGGCCATTCTACTTACATTTTTAAGACCATTTTCTTTTCACTCTCTGTCCAAGACACCTGAATATTATCTTATTTTTTGTAGGTCCTTATTGAAATACATATTCTCAAAGTACCTCCATCCTGATGTCCATTCTTGGTACCCAACCTCCCAACATCCCCTAATACACACACACACCCAGCACATGCTTTCACAAATAATTCCTTTAAAAACTGGGCTGAATGCCTTATCACAGCAGCTTCTAAACCTTAACCAGTGTCCGGCAGCCAAAACCAGGTGGGCCAATTGCTGTCTGTCAAATAAAATAACTACTAACATGTCTTGGTCTAACATCTGTTGTTAGCTTCAACCCTGCCGTAGGGATCAATACCTCTTGGTAGAGAAAATCTCTTCCCTTGTCTCTCATGATTAGTCTTTGATTATCCATTTGCCCTAAGGCTACTAATGTTTAAGTGCAGAAGAAACACTTCCCATTTTTCTAAAGCTTCACTCCCACTAATGGGAACAGGGGTGGTGTGTGATGCTGAAATCCTGAAGTCGAACAGGAGGAGGGATTCGCTGCTGTGGACTTCTTTTGCCCAAAGAAGTCAGAGTTAGCACAGAGTATGTCATGGTGGGAATGAACCATGGGGAAGCCTTTGGCTTCTTACATTTTTGATTATCTTAAAAATCCAGGCTTTAGCAGAAGTCCACACAAACCTAAGAATTTGTTAATTTGATATTATACAAATCCAACAGATCTATACTTCCTCTACTAGATTATAACCATTATATCATTTGAAAGTATACTAAAGAAGTTTAAAAATGCCCCTGAAAAATATCATCTAGCTTGAATAGGATCTTGTTTGCAGCCCACATAAGCCACATGACGTTATGTTTTAAAAAAGTAACTTTAAGCTGGGTGCATTGGCTCACGCCTGTAATCCCAGCACCTTGGGAGGCTGAGGCCGGCGGATCACAAGGTCAGGAGTTTGAGACCAGCATGACCAACATGGTAAAACCCTGTTTCTAAAAATAAAAAGAAAAAAAAAAAGAAAAAGGAAAAAAAAAAAAATTTTAAAAAGTAATTTTAAATATCGTTACTTCAGGAAGTATATTTTGATCTAAGATAGCTCTACTACAAATTTTGCTAAGACATCAAAAATTCCTTTTAACAAATGCTGAAGGGAAGTTAAGAATTGCTCAGATACCCTTCCAGTGTCTACAAACTCACTAAAAGATGCTTCAATGTTCAAATCCTTGCCAAAGTAAAAATATCTTTGGACAAGCCACATTCTTAGCTCTTGGTCCAGATTCTCTGTTGGAGTGCCCTATCTAGAATTACCTACTGAGAGTTTCTTCAGTTTTTGAATGTGAGGATTTAAGAAGATTTCCCAAGGTTTTGAAAACATCTCTTGGAACATGGTAAGATAAAGAAGCAAATGTAAAGCCTTTTCCCAGCTAATCTTCACCTTAGGGTTCTCCATGTTTTGAAAAGAACCAAACTACACAAAGTAAGTATCCTAATATCCGGGTTTTCATATATTTTCTTAACATCAGCTTTTAATTTTCCTACAGCATTTTAGAAGAAAGGAAAAACGTGCTTTCTTCACCTCCAGCATCCTAGTGAATATTAGCTTTTCAATATTTCAGCTGACATTTACAATTTTCTGATTTCCAAACTGGTTCATCCAGGAACCTGTGAATAGAAAATCTATGTACATTTTCCTCCAAAATATATCTCAAATACACGTACTTTCTACAATCTCTACTGCCTTCACCCCAGTCTGCAGAGTCCTAGCTCTCAATTAGGTCCTAAAATAACTTCCTAACTTGATTCTTACTAACACTCTCCACTCTCCAATTTACTACCCGTTTGGCAGCCAATAATCTTCTCGTTGCATATTTCATATAAGGTTATTTTCTCTCCGAAAAAAAAAAAAAAAAAAAAAAAAAAGAAAAACTCTCTCATGGCTTCCTACTGAACGCACAATAAAAGTCCATGTTTACCATGACCTACCAGGGCCTGAATGCTCAGGTCCCAGCTTGCTTCATCAAATTCATTGTTCGGCCCCCATCTTCCTTGGGAAATGCCCAATCCTTCCTGCCACATTGCCGTGAACATCCCTATCCTCTGCCTGGGATGCTCATACACCACACTAACCCCCTCCCCACCGCACCCCTTCATGGCACTGCTCCCTTGAATTCTTTAGGTGTCCACAGCAATGCTGCCTCTTCAGAAAGGCCTCCTCTGGCCAACGTCTCTAAATGAACCTCCTCCACGTTGGATTCTGCAAGATGGTCCCTGTTCATTTTCCTCATAGCACTAATTTCAACTTAGAACTTAAATATGTACTTTTGGTGTCTGCTTCTCTCATGAGAAGAGAGAAGATCCACATGGCCAGGAATGCTGCCTGGCACAGAGTAGGGCATAGTATCATAAATAGTTGTCGAATGCATTACTTATTGTTCTAATGTGTATTCGTTACTCCTATTCATAAATACAGATAAATCTCCGCACCCCTCAGCCTCCATTGGCCATTATTTTGACACAGTCTTGTCAGCTCTCCTGCCAAACCTTTGGTTACAGAACGCTGGCACTGAGAAGAGGATTTCTCTGAGTCATTTTTCTAAAACTTGATGCCCGAATGAAAAGCATCAATGGTTGGCCAAATTCATGTATCATGCAATGCATCAGTGATACATTGCAGCCCAAGAGGGAGTTTCATGTAGGTATCCAGCAAATACGTTACTGCATGAGAATAAACGTTTCTTATCTGCACTCTTCAGATGTATTTTCAATTTCTTTGAAAATGGTCTCTTCCAAACTTACTCCAATAATATCATACATAAATCTGAACATACAGCTCACTTGAATACAAATTATGGAAACAGAAAAGTGAACATGGCATGAGGCGCTCTCCAAAGTAACGCATAACCTTCTAAGGATAAACATTCAAACTGTTTTCCTCTAATTACAGATTTCAGCTGGACTGAAACAAGACTTGACTGCCACATGCTTGTGCAATTAGAGAAGTAGCTATCCTTTCTCTTGGATCATCAAAGACTACCTGTCTCAAAGTAAAATAAACCAGTAAATTAAGTTAGACAATACTTTAAACACAACCCTTACTAATGTCACGATTTATTAAATTAAGATGTCTCAGGCTGACTAAAAAGGAAATCATGATAATCTACAATGCACATTGTCGGGTTTGGAGGCCCAGTGTCCACAGCCAGATTTTCCTGCCTGAAAGCCCTAGGCTCCCTGGACTGTCTGAAAATACTACACTTGCTGCAAGTTCCATGTGGAAAGTTTCCTGGGCAGAATTCCTTAACCCCCATTCCTGGTTCTTCCCACTGTGTGATACGCCAACCAGTGCTCTACTGCTAGCTCAAAGAAGAGGAGACCTTCATTTAGTGAACTTGAACGTCTCAGTGTCCAGTACAACTCCATATGGAATGAGTGAATAATCACAGACAGCTTCGCATGGTTAATGGCTGCACGCTCATCCTGAAAACAGCGCAACTTGCAATAGAGCGAAGTAAGAAGTGCTGTTGTTCTGGAAGCCTAACCCTCCTTTCCCGGGACCTGGACCATAGCCTCTTCATCAGGGGGAAAAAGGACACACGTTCTTAATCAATCTGGACCTCTTTCTTTTAATTAATACAGCTCTTGTTATCCTAGTTCCACAGGGGCTCGTTAGTGGCTAGGTGACAGGCATGCCAATGCCTTCCTGAAAATAAGAGGTGAAGACGGCCTATCTCCTTACCTATTACAACCGCGCTCTGTGAGGCCTTAGGGAGATGCTTGGTAGAGTAAATGTTGGTCTCCCCTTCCCATCTTCTGGCGAATACAGACAAATTGAAATTTTAAAAAATACATACTTGCACATATTTTGTGTTGCTCAGTAATGACAGGTCTAGATTTCTTTTTTCAAAAAAAGAGGATTTCTTATTAACAATTGTACATGCCTAGTTCCAACTAGATGAAAAACCAATTTTTCTGACTCCTGACAAAACCAATGGGCCACTTGATTTGTGCCCACTGTATCACCCAGTGTAAATAGGGAGGGACAGGTGACATGAACGTTTCCAAACAAAAGTGCATTTTTGAATTAACAACCAAGATATTTTACCTAACCAAGAATGTAACTGATACTTTGTGTTTACAGACTATGTTCTTAAGATGCTTAACATGCCTTACCAATGTTATGTCACCTTGTAGGGAGCCATGACTGGTATATTATTTTTATTAAACGATGGAAAAACAGTACAGGCATTGAGAAGGTGGACACTGGGCTACATACTTCAAATACATCACGTCGTTCACTCTACACAATAACACTGCCAGATAGTAGTATCATTTCTAGTTTATAGATTAGGAAACTGAGTCTTGAAAAATAATTGACTGTTTATGATTCTGGAGCCAGTAAGTGGCGGAGCTAACTTAGAAATCCAAACCACGCTGACCAGAAAGACAGCATCCCTGTCCAACATGGATGTGGAGAAATTCACTATTTCAAGAAATATAGAAACTAAATCACATGAGTCATCAGGACAAAGTAAGAAAATGAGTTATTATGATCACTCTGTAATCAGACACAAATTAGAAATAATAGCATAAGAAAAATTTATACAGGGTTTAAAACCTTCATGATATTTTTCAATCTATACATACCAAACTAGTCCCAGGAAAATTCTATCAGAAAGAAAACTTTCAAGGACACCATTACCATGATCTTTCAGGTTATTTCTACCATGCTAAGACATTTTGCTAGTAATCACATGGGTTACTTTTAAAGGCTTAATAAAGTAGGCCAGTAGATTATTGTTTACTTTTTGGGAAAACCTGTTCTTCCTTCAAAAACGCTGCTCTAAAGGGAACTGTCAATCATGGTAACGCTCCGCTCTCGCTTCAGGATCAGGCTTGCGAACTGCTGAGCTAACCATGCTATCACCAGGGCTGATCCAGAGAGGGACACAATTCATTTGGAGCTCCTCCCTGGTATTTTTGTTCATGGATATGGAGGTTGCTCTCTTCTCCTGGGTTATGAGAATATAAGCCATGACAGTGGTTGACAGCTAAATAACAGCCTGGCTTAGAAATTAAAGCTAAACTACAAAGGAGGGTGGTGAATTGGGAAGAGAGGGTAAGAGAAAGAAGAGGAAAAAGAAAGAGAAAGAATAGAGAGAGGACATTTAAAAAGACACATGGATCACAGAAGAGAGAGGTACAGACACACATGGTTGACTAATCCCACTCCCAGCAGGTAGAATTCTGCATTCAGGCCTTCCACAGGCAAGTTCCACTCTTCCCCTTCTGTGGTTTGACTGTCTAAATAAATAAAATTGATCTCTCTCTCTCCCCACCGCCCCCACCCATCTCTCTTTTTGCTTTGAGGTATTCAGAACAGTGTTTTTATTACCTACAATGATCAACTCAAGTTATGCAAGAAAACATGTTCGTTACTTTACTAGGCTAAGTTCTCACTTCCATGTCTGTGCCAGACGTAATGATGCAACAAGTCAAGTTAGCAAATACTTATGGAGACACAAAGAGGGGAAAGGCAGTGCAGCTTGTGACAAGTCAGAGCTGTACCAGATATGAGGACACTAATCCCAAACAACACTGAGTAGCTCCTAATAAAAAAAAAAAAAAAAGACCAACATGTAAATATCAAAAAAGTAATGGTATAAAATAGACATATTCTTAGGCAGTATAAGATCAGCCGCTGAAGAAAACAGGTTGATAGTAAATGGTCTAGGAGTGCAGAGGTGAGAAACGGGTTGAGAACCACATCCTGTTTTAAGTATTTGAAATCCCACACTGACAGTAACTGTACAAGAACTTTCACACTCTTAAATGACCACACTGTGATTTCCTATCCATGTCCCAGGGCATTCAAAACATTTCTGAAATACTTTTCCATTTAATTACAGAAAATATAAAGTTTACACCAAAGTGGGGCATAGGTGGGCACTTGGGCAGCCAGGTGGGGCATCACCCTTAGAAGAGCTCTGTGCTTGGTTTAATGCTTTGCTGTCTTGAAATTATTAATTTTTATACAAGAAATTCTGCCTTTTCATTTTTCACTGTTTCCTAAAAAGTACATAGTTTGTCCTTCACTGAGGAAAGGAACAGAATTGTTCTGCAAACAATTCCAACCAATGGTTTGCTCTCCCAAGCAACTTGCTTATCATTGCCAAGAGGGTAATGGATTTTGGAAGTCAAAGGGCAAAGCAGCACTCTCTCACCTGGCACGTGCTCTTCCTTAGCCCTTTATTAAAAGCAAGTGATTTAGAAAGCTGAGAAGTCTGCAGTAAAGAGCACTTGTAAACTGCCAATCTACAGCCCTGCAAACATGAATGTAAACTCACCAAGTGTGAGCCCAAAGCGCGTCGCATATTTCTAGGACGTGACAAGCCCAGGCTAAGGCGTTAAAAACATGGATCAGGCTGATTGTACGAGATACTTCGAGAGTGAAGGAAAGCTCATTCTGGGCAGGTTAGATGTATAAAATGTCAGCAAACAATGTGTGGTTATTGAAAATGTCACCTAGAAACAAGTCTATCACATGGAGCATGTGCTGGATGGGACAGTGAGGAGGCTGTCACGGGGTGCGTATTAGACGGGACTGTGAGGACGCTAGGGAGCAATGCATCTGAATTGGTCCCTCTCAACATCTTCTCTGAGGAAGCATCCCTCCAGCTTATATTCTGGTCTATGCGAGCAGAAGACAGCGACAAGAAGGGTGTCCAGCATCCTCGGTCTGGGACCTCCACGACAAGACCAAGCCATTCTCTGGCTGCGATGCACTAGCGTATGTGATCTGTGTCAGACCAGCTACTCTAAAGCGACAGCGTCATCAGTCCCATCTTGCTGATGATGTCTAAAATCACACCATTCCCATTCTCATTGAGGACTCTAATCCTAGACATGATGAAAATAATCGCCTAAGGGGAAATATGACTCTTTTCGTCTTGAACCTTAGTGTGAATGAGTTTCAAACCCTTTACTAGGGGACCAGGTTTAGATTAGAGGTAAAAGGAGGGATGTAGGGACTTAGGGAAGGGCATGAAGGGAAGTTATATGTGATGTCCTAAGGTTAAAAAAAAGCTTCCTTTTTACAATTTTCCAAACTGAGCAGGTTTTTTTTTTTAAAGAAAATATCACTTAATACGTGACTTAGTCTGAAGGCAAAGAACAGTGATTCAAAGACACGTATTTCTAAGCAATCTCTCTTCTACCCACCTGCATAGAAATTTAACTAAAAGCTCATCATTTACATTGACACCTACTGATGCATTTGGAAGTAGAATAAATGCATTATCTTTAGAGTAGATGTTTAAAGGGTTTCCTTCTGTTCAAACCATTTCTTTTTCCACCTACTATTCACTGAGGATCGTTTCTTCTATGACAGGCCTATGGAATCTAAGTAATTAATTACAGAAGTGAGTGCAAATCTGGCATAGTTTACAGGCTCAACAAATATTACCAATTAATTCATCTAATTTAAGGAGGTATCAAAATCTAATTACAACTGAAAACCAGGCGAACGGCCATGGTATCATGTGTAAGCAGACCAAAATGAAGACAGTAAGCAGAAAACAGTGGAATTTTGTGAACAAAGTTTCTCAGGATGTAAGTTTTCTTTTCTCTTTTTCATTCTTTTTCTATTTTTTTTTTCAGAGTCTTTCTCCGTTGCCAAGGCTGGAGTACAGTGGCACAATCTTGGCTCACTGCTACCTCTGCCTCCTGGGTTCAAGTGATTCTCCTGCCTCAGCCTCCTGAGCAGCTGGGATTATGGGTGCCTGCCACAATGCCTGGCTAATTTTTGCGCTTTTAATAAAGACATGGTTTCACTACATTTGCCAGTCTGGTCTCGAACTCCTGACCTCAAGTGATCTGCCTGCTTTGGCCTCACAAAGTGTTGGGATTACAGGCATGAGCCACTGCCCCTGGCCCACAGGATTAAGTTTTCTAAAGATCTGAAGCAAAGTCATTGTTAGCGATGTTAGGAAGTATACTAATTGGTTTGTGGCTTACTTGATAGTATAGATTATGTTTCCCTTTATCTTTCCACTAGATACAGCTATTTGGGGATGCTGCCCAGGGAGCGCTAGCCACCTTCACGACTTAATACTTAATATGCCTCTATGGAATTTCATAATCGCAGAGACTTTATTCCATATACTGAAGAGGGGAAATTTCCCTTCCTGAAAAGATTTATTTTACAGTGTCACACAATTCTACAAGAATCATGAAAGGTCTCTTAAAAAATATTGACATCTGTGTTTCTTGGTGATATCTGGATGAAGTTTTAATATGAATGGTAAATTGACAATATCCCATGAATTGAGCAAACTATTCCTTTTACCTTTATAGTCTTTGAAGTGAGTGGGTCTGCCATCGTAGCAGGGTTGTGCAAAGCCTTCTTACATGGTCACTTTTACATGGTTTCCTCATAACAGAAGCTGTTTTACCAGAAATGGTCCTGGCGGACCAGCACCCCAGCTGTTCTCTGCAGTGCCCCAGCTTCTATCCTGACTCTTCCTATTAAAACTCCACATTTTGCCAAATGTCAGCATCTTCTTCAACTTGCTACCCCAGGTTGAGGGACATTTAATTTTTTATTCAGGCTATAAAAATTGGCAACCCCAGTGGTGCCACACCTAATAAAACACCAGTTTTAAAATGCCATTGTGCAAATGAAAATACCTACCTCTCTTGTAGTATAAGTTTGTTCTCTTTCTTCCAGAAGTCTTTAAAGTCAGAGCTGAATTCATGCCAGATACTGAAGAAAACATTTGGGGACACCTCCTTCTCTCCAAGTTTTGGTTTCATGAAGAAATATGCTGTAGTCTCCAA